AATTTCACAAGGCCCAGCTCAAATACTTCCTGCCCACTTCCCCAAATGGAACTCCCCATCTCAAATTTCCTAGGACCCTCACAGCACATCTCTCTGAAAGGCAGAACCTGGTCTGCTGTATTGTTAGCATGGCCTTACTCAGCTGTGTCCCCTTGCTACTTATGAGCTTTGTGACTTTGGGAAAGTTACTTAACTCCTCTGAAACCCCACCTGCCCCCACCACCCCATGTGTGTGAAGTGGAACAAGTGAGGGTATGTGCTAAAAGAAAGACTCACAGTTACTTTTGGCTGCCATTGACTATGTATGCCCATCCCCTAGCACAGTACCTGGCATGTAGCAGTTGCTCAGTAAATGAATAAAATTGATAAAAGAACTAATTAATTAATTACCTCCTCCCCCCAGTCCAGTTCCCAAAATGCTGCTGTTTGTCCAAGTTTGGGACCCCAGATGTAGCATCCATTTGCTGTTTCCATTAGCCTGTTATTCCCTCTGAAAGACAGGGCCCCAAAGGTTATGCAAAAATTAATGCCTTGCCCTCCGTCCACTCCCCCCAGACAGAAGGCAGCTGAGGGCGTCCTGAACCAGCAGCCCCCAGGTGTGGGCCTGTCCAGGATGTCCTGCCTCCAGATGTGGAGAGCTCAGAGCTTTGCCAAAAGCAGTTCCTTTCCTTTTCACTTTCCTTTCTCTGACTCTAGTTATAAAATCTGTTACCTGGAAGCAGGAGTCCTCACTTGTGACTCTCTGCCTCCTTGCTCTCCTCTGTGGGATGTGATATCTAAGAAAAGCCTTGTATCTCCTGTTCTCAGTCTTTTGAGTCCACTGATACAATGGAAAGAGCACTAGACAGAGAATCAGAGGGGTTTAGGCTCCAACTTCAATTGCTGGCTGTGTGACCTTGGACAAGTCACTTAACCTATCTGAATCCCCAAGGTGTGGTATGATAATATAAAGAGATGGGCGAGACTCAGCAATGTAAAAGCCATGCAGAGATGATTCTGATGGGCCTTCTTCTCTCCAAGAACAGCCTGCCCAGCGATACTGAACAGGGCATGGTCAGAGCTAAATACCTTGGGCTTTCCAGGGTTTGAGATCCTGAGGGGATCTGGGAAGGGGGTAGGATATAGAGTCACCACCATTACCTGGCCATGAAAAGGTGGCTGACTTAGAGGGGGTGAGCAGACACCCTCCCACCAGGGGGACCCATGTGACAAGGCTTCGTGAGTGTGGATTGGGGTTGCTGTTTCCCTCTTCATATGCAGCTGTTGAAATTGGGTTTGAGTGAAAAACACAACCAGTTTCCCCAGTGCTGTCTGCACAGATAAAGTCAACTTTGCGACTCCTGGAGGAGGGCAGGTAGGGGTACAGAGGGTAGGGACTACCAGAGTCCCAGGGCCCTATCCCTCCACCCCAGGGAGGACACACACATACTGGTGTAGTTCTGTAGTCTCCATCCTCAGCAGAGAACAGCAGAGACCAAATGAGGGCCTGACGCCCTGAACTGTGGGTGTAAGAGGCCTGGCGCAGAAGGTCCTCCAGGAAAAGACACTGCTGAGCAGAGTAGGGAGCTCCGAAACTCTTCAGGCTAGAATAGGGGACACCCCCTCCAGGAAGGGCTCCCCTGCCCTCCCAGACTCCTGGCTTCTGAAATCAACATATACCTTTGGTGCCCTAAACTTGAGTTATGAAAAATGTTATCATTGTAACATTACACTGCCACTCCCCACCCACTCCCTGACTAGACTGGAAACCGCTAGCAGGTAGAGGCCTGTTTTACACTTCCATGGACAAACCCCTTGCCCAGCACACACTCACTTCTTCCTTCATTCACAAGTATTTATTGAGACTGATGTAGATGCCAGGGCCCCAGACTGGATGCTGGAGAACCATTCTTTTGGGGTGTCAGCTGCTAAATTTCCAATTTGGGGCCCTGACTCTGGTCTCTGAGCTTCCCCAAGGTAAAATTTCCCCTCTCCATCCCAGAAGGGGGCGGTGGGTCCAGCCCAGTCAGGAGAAGCCACAAGATGCACACTTTTTCTTCTTTTTTTTCTTTCCTGCTGTACCAAGGATGTGAATGACCCCATGGGAAATTCACAAGCAGGATCTGAAATCCTGGCAGCAGAACAAGCCCAAGCTCCATTCAGGGGAATCCCTGACACCCACACCTGACCTGTGCCCTAGGAAATTCATCCAAGGGACCAATGAAGGGTGCAGACCCAAGAAAGGTCAGGACCAAGTGTAGCGCTTCTCTCTCACAGCAGCCTAGGATTTCTCACTCAATTTAGACAGCAGAGGAGCCGCAGAGCCAAAATTCCAAAGAGGCAATTACAAGGCAAGTATCTCAGGGTTTTTTAGTCCCCCTGATTGTCCCAACCCCCTTCCATGCCACCCTGGAGCCTCCCCCTAATCTAGCCTGCGTTTCCCAGACTCCTGGCTTCTGAAATCAAACAAGCCCCTGCTCTGCCCCTTCCCAGGTGGTGACCGCAGGCAAGTTCCCTCTTCTCAGCGTGCCTGTGTGTTCCCATCCGTAATAAGGGGATAATGACAGTGCCTCCCCTCCCCCACAGCATTTTTGAAAGGATTAAATTATTTTATACAAGCTTAGAACAAACCTGGCACCTAGTAGGCTCTCAATAAATGTTAGCTATTTCTGTTACTTATAACATTCGCCTCCTAGGAGAGAATGCCCATCTTCCCTACCAGAGGGAAGCCCAGCCCACAGAAGGAAGCCCATGACCTGTGCTGAATGAATAAATGAGAGTCAGGGCCAGCCCTGCAGGTGTGAGCCTTCAAATGAGTTGCTGTCAGTGCTGCTAAGAGGGTCTCCTGGCATTGACCCCAACAGTGACCTTTCCTCCCTTGGTCCCAGAGAAATGCCACCCAGGCACAGGATCTTCTGCTTATCTCTCTGACTCTTGCCTGTGCTTCAAGGCAAGTTTCCCAAGTGTCTCTGGCCACCTGGCCACCTGGCCTTCTCCACATGGGTGCAGGAAGGAAGAGGGAGCACAGGCCCGCTTGAGCCTCTGCCTTGCAGGTGGTAGAGGGCAGGCGGGCCGACCCCAGCAGCACAGTGACTGGGCCCAGCGCTGGCAGAAGCTGCCAGGCCTCCACTTGCGGATTTGGGTCCAGAGTTGGTGGTGATGGGCAGGGCTCTTCCCTGAGGATGCTCAAATCTGCTTCCCCATTTCACTCTGAAGAAAGGCTCCTTAGGTCAGGGGTAGGGGCCTCACTCATTTCTGAGCCTCTGACCCCTGAGAACATGTTTTTTGCACAAAGTGTATTTTGGTAAATGCTTGTTAAGCTTGAATCAAGGTTGGGATTGGGGGAGAAACTGACAAAGATTTGGTGGAAATCGAATCAAACAGATTGTGTTCCCTCTTTTATCCAGCTCCCTAGGCCCCAGGAAGACCTTTCCCAAGGAATGTGCCAGCTGTCTTGGGCACAACCTTAGCCTCTTGGAGGGGACTTCTCATTTTGTGCTGTGTGGCTACCTTACCTAAAAGGGTGGAGGCAGTGAACTGAGGTGTGCGAGGGGAAGGGGGCAGCCACAGAGACCTTGAATATGTGTGTGTGTGACACAGACTGAAGAGGACTTGTTCCTGTTAACTCAGCATTTTCTACACATTAGCTCTAGTCCCCGACTCCTACCAGGTAACTGAAATCAAGAGCCAAGGTAGATCTTTATTATCCCCACTGTACAGATGAGAAAACAGAGATTCAGAGAGATTAATTGACTCATCCAGCTCACAAAGCCAGTCAGAGGCATAACCAGGATTTGGACCTGGGCTCTATCTCAAAACCCATGCCAGGTAACCCCAGAGTCAGACCAAGATTGTGCTTAGGGTTCTAGCAAAGCAGAGGCACCAAAATGTTTTTTCTTTGAAATATTTTTGTACTAGTAGTCAGGATGAAAACCAAATCTTCTCTAGACTTCCCCTAATTTATTCTATGGTTTACATTGCTTTTATTTTTAATTGCACGGGTGTTGGGGGCATGGGCACAACCATGGAACAGTACAAAGGACAACCTGCAGAAGTTCTAGTCCAGCTGCGTAAACTGCTTCTTGAACGACTGGTTCTCTGGTTATGCAGGCTCTGTTGGGATGAAGTTTCCTTGGCTCTTGATGGGCCCATGCCGCTGTGTTCACAGTTCTCGCCATTTGTGCAAGCAAAGGAGGGGACTACGGTCTGTATTTGTGTATATGTGCATGATTTATGTCACCAAGAATGGACCAGAAATTGAACACCTTGGCTGCCTCTAGGAAAAAATGGGTTACCAGAGAACATTTTATGACTTTTGAATTTTGTACTGTGTGGCTACCTTACCTATTTAAATAAATAAATAAGTGTTGTACAACATTTACAACCTTGCTTTTCAGCAAAAGCAATATAAAGTGTGAATTCAATAGCTTCTGTTCTCAACTCTAAAGGCACACCTGGGACAAAAAAAAAAACAAAGGTCTCTGGCTATTACCTTGTGGTAAGACAGAGAGAAAAATACAGAGAACCAAATACAATTTAAAATCTACCAAATGAGATTTATGCAGAATAAGGCTACAGCCTGGGGAGCCAGGAAAGGTGGAGAAGCAATCTGGAACCAACTAGGGAGGTGGCAGAAGGGGCTGCAGAGGCCAAACCCCTCACAGCATGAGTTTGCACCAGGGGGAAGGGGGAGGGGGTAGACAGAGAGCAGAGCCCCAGGATGCCTGCCCTTGAGACCCACCATTGCCCCAAGGAGGGGAAGAAGGTGGAGCCGTGAAGAACCAGCCCCTCACTCATCACTGGAACTTCAGGGGTTCCCCTCCCCAATCTGAGACTCAGTTTGTCTATAAAATGAAGGGTTTGGCCCAGAAAGCTCTCCAGGTACCTCACAGAGCTAATATTTGCTGATTTGATGGCTGCAGCCTTCTGCAATGCATAAAATAGATTAGTTTTAGCAGTAGTAAAAACAAAACTGAAAATCAGATTTATCATTTTAATTAAATATACTTTACATTCTCAATTTCTAGGGAGCAAAATGCTTCCCCCCAACCCCCCATCAGTTTTCCTTTTGTGGGAGACATTCATGTCTGATGAGCAATTTAAGAAAATGCTGAACCACCCCCAAAGAAGAAAAACAATTAACAAGACCCTAACAGGTATTTCCTAGCATTCAAGTGGGACTTTTAGCGGGGACAAAAGAAAATAAAAAGGAAAAGTCAGGGAGGCGAGAGTCAGGTGGGGTCCGGGTGTCTGAGGACTAGGGATCAGCCTGGTAAGCATAACTTGCTTTTGCCCCTGCGAGCCCCAGAGCTGGGCAGAAGCAGGCAGGCAACTGGGGGTTGGGGGGGTTGGGGGAGGGGCGTTTGTCCCCTCTCCCACCCCTAGCTGACACAAGGCAAATTGCTCTCTGAACTTCAGGGTGTTCAACTATAAAATGAAACTAAAAATACCTACTTCAAGGAATGCTGGAAAATGTAAAAAAAGAACATCAGAAAAAGCTTAGGAAAATTAAAGTGTAAGGCATATGTGCAAACACCTGAATGTCTGGTCCCCCATCTGGTGAGGTATTGTGTCCTCTCAGCATGCCTCACCCTAATATTCCTCCTCCTTTTCCCCTCCTTCCTTTTCCTGTCCTGCTTTTCCCCACCAAGGCACCTGGGCCCCACGGAGTGAGATGAAGGCAGAGTCTTCATCTAGAAGCATCATTTCCTGGGCTGTGGGCTCCCTGGCTCCAGATGATAAACTAGCAACTGTGGCTGTCAATTACCAGACAAATCTGGGCTAGGGTCACCAACAGGAGAGCTGAGAACCAACAGGAGAAATAAATGTATAGCTGCAGCCGGAAAGCCCTTAGAAGCCTCAGGGGCGGTCAGGTCCTGGGGCTGGCAAAAGAGTTTCTGTTCTGCAAAACAAAGATAAAAACAGTCAGAAATAAAGTCAGGAATCCCCCCACCACCACCATTCCCCCCAAAATGAGTCCAGGATGAGTCAAGTCCCCAGGTCCCTGTCAGCAGTGGGCTTTCCTGCCGCTGGCTTCGAGAGCTGGGCATCCATGCTGTCGCCCATTATTCTGATGACAAGAGCAAATATAGACATTTCCAGAGAACCAAGGAGCAACTAAGTGGAATAAACAGCGTTTAATCTTTAAAGTGAAATTGGCTTCCCTTGGTAGAGCCCCACCCAGTGGGAGCTGTGGCCCCTCATAATTCAAGTCTGCACTTAATTAAAAAGGGGAGCATCCTGGACTCTGCCCAATTGGCACCAGTTCCTTTCCAATTCTTCAGGCTGCTGACATTTTCCTGTTTGTCACTCTTTGACAGTAAGGGGAAAAATTCAAAAGCAAGAAAAGAATCTTACATCCTGCAGCTTTCAGAGAGGGTGCTTGGTCTAAAAGCAGAGGGTTGAAATCTAAATTAATAAGAGAAGAGATAGAACAGGCCAAGGAAGGATTTGCATTTGGTGGGGAGTCCTGAGCAGCTACAGGCAGCAAATATGAAAAGCTGAAGTCACCAGCACCTTCTAAAAATATAAGGCACTTTCCTTGGGACACCGTTGGTCTCTTTTTGGCCTCCCAGACTCTTCCTAGCATGAGGAGCAATCTTTCCTCCTGGAACAGTCAACCAGATCAAAGGGGGGGCACATGTATTCAGGCTTATTCAAAAATATTTCAATGCTCCTCATGGGTTTCTGACAAGTCCCCAAAAAGTGACTCCCGTCTAACTCAACTCCCCAGGAGAAATACTAAAATGGGCTCCTTCAGGGACTGGCTGGGCCTCTAGAAGGTCAATGTGTCTATATCCCCCTATGCCTGACAAAGAGCAGCTGTTACACAAGATGAGGTAACAAGAACCTTCCCATCAGATTCTTGACTTCAGGCTCTGTCTGCTGTAGGGGATCCTCGGGAGTCAGGCCGTGGTGATCATCCCACCCCTATAACACCCAAGGGAAAGTGGGACCCAGTCTCTACCCAAGGCTTGAGGACTTTTCTCCTAAGGTAGCACTCCTCTACCAGGACACCCTTTGGGGTTGAGCAAGACACCAGCTCTACCTGTACCTTTCCTCTTTAGCCTGACATACCCTCAGCTAGCCAGCTGCAGGGAGAACCCCCTTTTCTGTGCGGCCTCATGAGAGGCCTCAGGCTAAGTGGAAGGTACAGAGGAATGAAGGAAGAAGTTACTCCACCCTCCTCCCAAGCACATCCTCCAGAAGTGGTACCCTCCCAGATATTTTTAAGATAATCTATACAGAGGCAAGATATTATACAGATACCTGGTAACAGACATTAGGACAGTGGTTCTCAATCTGGGGGCAGGGGGGTACTGATCTGTATGGCCCTGATTAAAGCTGTGGACCTTTTCCTCAACAAAATGCATATACGCACACACACCCTGATGCAGGCAGCTGGCTTCGGGGGGTGCCCATCCCCTCACCCTGGTCCAGAACTCCTGCAGTTTAGAGGAAACATGAAAAAATGTGAAAATGGGACTGTGAAAAAAATGTGGAAGTAGGACTCTGAGTCAAGGATAAAAGGAATTCCAAGAGTAGCATTTTTATTTGGCTGGTACTGAGTCGCCAGTCCACAGGGAAGACCCCATGTTCCCCAACCCCACCGCCTGACTCTGCTCTCTGGCTCATTTCCCCTGATGACAGCTCCAGTCTGGGAGACACTAAAGGGACATAGGCCACCACCTGACCCTGTTTATCTCACCAATCTGGCCTTGTGGAAGCTGTCTCTCCCTAGTTTACTCTCTGAGTTCTACCCTTTAAGCCTCTGGGACTCCACTCTTTCAAACACTGAAGAAACCAGGCCTTTGAAGACATTACTGTCCTCTCCTCACAGTCAGCCTGGACCAGTCACCAGTGCCCTGTTGTAATACTCTGAAGGCCACCTAGGAGAGCCTGCATCTCTAATGGCTCCTGGGCCTCCTGGTCTAACCAGGGTCCCATTCCTTCTAATCCCAGATCTCCCATCTTCCAGCATTCTGAGCAAAGCCTCACCTGCCTTTGCATGAGTATTTGCATATTTAAAACCCATATTTACATTTTTTAACTTAGACTCCTGGGAAACAGGTCAGAGTCCAGCCCCAATATACTAGAGGGAGGGATGCATTTACCTGGGCAATCTCCATGTTGGGGGTTGTCCAAGGGTATGTTGTGTGTGCCTTCCATGATGCTCTGTGTCAGAAGGGGGACAGTGAGCATCCCTAAGTCTCATATGTCCATGTGTACTATCTGGCTCAGGAGTGCCCTCCGTCTGGTCTGGTCTGTGTACATGCCCAGTAAATGTTGGTTATTGTGGTGTGATTTCCAAGAGAAATCTCCAGCCCCTCTATTCCTTCTTCTCCCTAACTACCCTGAACCTTGGAAAAGACTCAAATGTTCCTCCTAGAGATGGCAATGGCCTCGCTGTGGGTGTTACATCAGAGGCCAGCTGACAGCAGTGGCAAGAGCAACGGTATTTTCTCTCACTCAGCCAGAATGTTGATCCAGAGTCTGGGGAAGAAGGCCCCTCAGCCACAACCTGGATGGGAAATGGGGTGGGAGTGCTTACTCTCCAGGGAGCCAGAGGCTCGACTGAGAAATGTTAAGAACTCAGAAACAAAGGGGCATCCCTATGACAGCCTCCTACTGGAGCGCCCTCTCCAGGACACAACAGAATCTTCGTCATTGTCATGGAAACTCCATCAGACTTGCCCTCTTGGAAAAAGCCTCTGTCCTGCTCCCCCACTTCTCTTTGCCCTGAGACACGAGCTCCTCCCTAAACTGACTCCATCCAGCCTGAAGCTGGAATTTGCTTGAGCTTGTCTCTTTTTCCTTGGGCATGGTTCCTGCTAAGCTCAATTACTTTGGTTGTTATTATACCTTTTCACTGAACAGGTATTTCACAGGAACCTCATAGAATGGAGCAGGCTGGGGGAAAAGGCAAGTGAGACCTCCTGCAGACCCTGAAGAGCATGAGCTTTAACAAATATTTCAGCAGAGAAGAGAGGAAATTTTCATTTGCCCAAGATAATCTTGGAATGAGCCCTAAGCAGGAGGTTTGGGTGTTTAGTTCCAGTTCTGACCCAGACCTGCTAAAAGAGCTTGCATTGTATTATTTCCTTCTCTGAGCCTCATCTGTAAAATGGGGGTGTTAGATGAATGAATTTTAAAAACAGCCCTGACTGGCCTGGGGTTTAGCCAGTCTCTTGTGTTTAACACAAATGACAGGAGGCAAAAATCCTGCCTCTTTTGAGGTTAAATTTCCTTTGAAGCTTTCCTCAAAGAAACACATAGACATAGATCCAGAGACTCTCAGACAAAAGGCCTGGGGGTCTTCATGTCCTGTATGCCCTTGTGGCTGCAGCCTAAGCACTTCAGCTACCATCAAGTGCCTATCGTGGTCACTGCTGCCTGCCGGGTGCTCAGCACTGTAAATGTTTACTGAGTGAATTGGGGAATGAATGAGGTGACATGGACTATGACCAGCTTTTTGGCTAGAACTGAAATCAGTCCTGCCCCTTGGCTCTTTAGTAGCCTGCGCTTGCTCTCAGGGTAAGAGGAATGATAACTGAGAGGGAACTGCATTTTTAGAGGTTGCTGGGGCCTCTGGTATCTGCTGAAATCAGCAGAAAGTGGGTCATAGAAGAGCTCTACAGAGCATAGGCCCTTGAGGAAAAGCCTGGATTAGGGGCTAACTTACATTATTGAGCACCCACTGAGTATCAGCTGTAACATAGCTTTAATTCATTTGTGTCCTCAAAGAGTTGCACAGGAGAACGTGGGGCTTCGGGGCTGAAGACCCTAGCGGCGCTGATTGAGTGACCTCAGCTAAGTCGCCGCCCCTCTCTGAGTTTTCATTTTCAATCTCTGTAAAATGGAAACAATAGAACCGCTTCGCCAGGTTATGGAAATGAAATGAGCACGTGGAATCGGAGCACTTCATAAATGCTGGTTATTATTGTTCCTCTGGCACACAAGTCCGCTCGCCTCCCCCGGCCCCCCGCAGGGCGACACGCAGATACATTCTCACTCCCACGTACACGCAGATGCACGGAGATCTGTGCAGACGCCTGCCGAAGGAACTGCCGTACCTCAACTCAGGTCCACCTCCGAACCCCGAGGAGAAGCAATCGGATCCTCAGCTTCTCTCCTTTTCTCTCAGTTCTTTATGAATGAACTCCGGCCGCGATCAGTTTATTTTTTTATGAATGGGAGCCCAAGCTGTGAATGAAGCCGGGAGCCAGCCCCCGCGTCCTCATTGGCCCTTGCGTCTGGGAAACTCCGCCCCCTGGCCCGGCCGGGCGAGTCTCCGGATTGGCGGGCGTGACAGCCCAGGGGTTTCATTCACAAAGTCAATGAAACAAAGGGAACTGGGTGGGGAGGAGTGAGAGCCCAGGCAGAGCCGAAAGAAATGCACCAATCAGCTGCTCCCCCGGGCTCACAACTGTCGGCGGCGCCCGGAAAACAGGCCGGTGCGCTGGGGACTCGGGGCCGGGGGTTCCTTGCCCTGGCCAAGCCCCGCAGTCCTCCGTGCCGCCCTGGGGCAGGCTCGGGACCCTCGGGGCTCTTGCACAGACGCCCCGGCCTCAGGTGAGGCTGCAGGAGAGGGAGGGAGGTAGAGTGTGATTCTCCGCCTTGTCTCCAACACACACCACTCTTACCGCCGCCTCCGCAGATTCTCGGGCGTGGGGGTGGGAGGCGCTGGGATTCAAGGTTGGAGGGGGCGCGGGAGTTGTGGGCGTGCGAATGGTGCGCGCCTCGCCCGTTCCTCCGAGCGCGAGCGCGCACACACACACACACACACACACACACACTCACACTCACACACACGGTCTTATGTAACCGAGCCTGGGCAAAGCAGAGCTGCAGAAAGCAGCCGAAAGGCGAGTCCGGCTTCCAGGAGCAGGTGGGACCTCCTTTGGCGGGAGGGGAGTAGTGGCGGCGCTCAGCTCGGCAGGCGGAAACCTCCCCATCGCTTGAGTGAGTGGAGAAGTTTTGCTGTCGGACCCAGAGCCTCGGGTTCCCACCCCCCCCCTCTGCTGCCCTTACCCACCCCCACCCCGCTGCCTTCCCGGGCGGTGTGCGAACGCAGCCCCCCACCCCCACCCTCCTCCCCAGGTCTCTGCCCCCGCGCGGGGCCCGGGAGGTGCGGCCGGAGGGAGCGGCCGGATGGAGCGGAGGATGAAAGGCGGATACTTGGACCAGCAAGTGCCCTACACCTTCTGCAGCGTGAGCGCCTCGCTGGCCTCCACGCCCGCCCCCATCCCGCGCCCCCCCCGACCCGACCCGCAGTCCCTTACCCGTGGTCTCAGCCGGGTCCTGGGCTCCCCGTCCCCAGAGTCACCCGGGAACCCCAGCCCCGCCCCCCAGGCCAGACGGCCTCAGGGTGACTTGGGGGCATTCTTTGCCTTCCCGCAGAAATCGCCCGGAAATGGGAGCTTGCGCGAAGCGCTGATGGTCCCCCAGGGGAAGCTCATGGACCCGGGCTCCCTGCCACCCCCCGACTCTGAAGGTAAAAAGAAAAAAAGAGCTGGAGAGACAAACCGCGATCCTCCGCACCTCTCACACCCCGAACGCCGATCCTAGAGCCCCCGCCCTTCTCCCAAAATGACTATGACTCTCCCTCCAAGGGACTAGGACCATTCTCGGGTCCCTACCCCCAAGGAGGGGCATCACCGGCCTCCCTAGGGCTCTCACATCACCTCCACCTCACCTTCTCTAATTCCATTATTCTCCCCCAGATCTCTTCCAGGATCTAAGTCACTTCCAGGAGACGTGGCTTGCTGAAGGTGAGTAGTTTTATGACCTTTCCTGTTACTGGGTGGGGGGAGCTCTCTACCATGGTATTCCAGCCTAGTCCACTTCCTTTCTCCCCCAGCCTCTAGGAGCTCTCCAAAGCCCCCTCAAGTCCCTGCCTGTCCGCTTTCCCCAGCGCCCAGTGTGGATACTTATATTGATATTTATTTTCTCTGCCCTGAGCCAGGCTTGTGTAACTAGGTCTAGGGATGAATCAGACCATTGTGTGGGGTATTTGCTTATTTGAATGGAACTTGGCCCCAGGCCCGTTTTCCTGGTTGAAATTTTCATTTGCAAAGTTTGTTTGGCAGCAGCAGCCAGGCCGAGGTGTGTGTTGGGGTGTTGGGGGGTGAGTGTGAGGGGCAGGAGGATGAGGAGGAGCAATTAATTTGTCACCTATGTTCAGGAGTTGACAAAACATTGGTTTTTACTCCCTTGGTTTCTCTTCCCATCCCCCAGCACCAAACAATTTACTGTCTGAGCCAAAAGAACAACAAAAGTTTAAATAATTCTTTTTTGCAGCACTTTGGCAAAGAGAGCCCAGAGCTTCCCCACCAAATAGCCTTGATTGTAATTCTGTTGGCAACTGATCCTTCCCTCCTGAATACCTCAGCCCCAGGCAATTACCCCTCCAGGTCGCAGGGGGGTTAGCAGCAAGCTGTGGGGGGGTCTGTAGCTGGGCCTCCTCTGAATAATGAAATGTGTTGGGGAGTCTCCTGGTTGAATTCACTGGTGTATTTTGGCGGGGCCTGTGGGTGTCTCTCGAAGGAGGTGGTTGGTGTTTAGACAGTCTCTGAGAGGGAAGGGTTAACACCCCCACTTTAGGGTCCCTTTAACACTGTGAAAACCAAGAAACCACAATACTAGGAACCCTCTTTTAAGGGCTTTTCTTTGGAATCTCCTCATCCCATTACCTGGGTACCCTTGGTAATTTTTAAGCTCAAACCCAACTCCTGGGAACCACCTTTAAAAGCTTGGGGTAGATGGAAAGACCTCTAACTAGATCATTGAAGTGAGACTAGGTCTGTCTTGACCACTGTGGTATTCCCAAAATATGTATGTTAACAGGATTATTTAGCATAGAGCAAGCACTCAGGACATTTTGTGGAATTAATTCTTGGCTGAACAGCTGAGTGGGTGCTAGAGGGATCTGGGGTTCCATGGGTATTGTACACATCTTCCCCAACTCTTCAAGCCTGCATACCCACCTGTGAGTTACAGGCAGAGTTGTGCCCTGTCTGCCCATCCTCCTCCCAAGGTTCTGGAGCTGGGCTGGAGCTGAAGAACACTGAGGTATCAGCTTCCACAGCCTCTCAAAGACTTCCTTTCCCAGGCCTGATTTCTGTCTGGCTTGCCAAGCTCCTTGTCTGTCAGCTGAGGATCCCTGCACTCCCCACAGTGGGCAGCTCCCAGGGCTGTGATGTAGGGGAAGACTCAAAAGTTGGCTTTTTGGCAGCAGCTGGTTCATTTGTGCCTGGGTTTGGAATGGGAAGGGGAGGAAAACATCTCATCTCTCAACGTTGGAAGCCCCACCCCTTGGCATTGGGGGTCTAGAGAGTGTCCGTGTGTCTATCCGCATGTATCAGTGTGACAGCAAGTGTATGTGTTTCATGCTGCTGCCCTGGGAGTCCCTGTACATTTAAATCCAGTGGGTGGGGAGGTGGGGGTGGGGAGCTCCTTGGTTCCCTCTCTAGCCTTCTGAGGGAGCAGCTCAGGTTCCCAGCTGGCGATGGATGGCCAGGCCTGAGGGGGGGATGCTGAGGCCGTTCGTTCCTTCTCACTCTCTCTGCGGAGACAGATGCAGCTGCCGGGGCCCTGTCCCCCTGCACCATCCCAGCAGCACCCCAGCCTCCTCTCCTGCCTCTTCCCACCAGGTCAGTGACCCGCACTGCCCAGAGGGAGCATTAGGTGGCTGGGAGGGACTAGCTCCTTTGGAAACTTGTCTGTGGTGGGGTGCATCAGGAGGAATGGGGGCTGAAGTCCAACCTCCCTCCCTCGGCTTGGTTTCCTCCTAAAGCCCCAATTTGGAGACAGGCAGTGGGTCCTTTAGTGTGTGTGGGTGGGGCTGTGAGGAATTTGGGAAATGCCAGGTTGGATCAAGGCAGATGTGGTTGTAGATTCAGAGTCAGGTGTGCGGAACTCATTGCGGGTGAGTGAGTGCAGCTCCATCAGGACAGGTCGGACTTCCTTGGGTTTGGGGTTTTCTAGGCAGAGTTGGGGGTGGGGGGGCTGAAGTGAGGTTAAGAGGGCGTGTCTGTTTTGGGGTGCCGGGATTGCTGAGTTGCTGGAGAAAGGATCAGGCTGCTATAGGGAAACCCAGGCTCCAGCAGGCTGAGCCCATGCCGTATTTGGTTATGGTCAAAGATGTGCTGCTTCTGCTTGAGGGTTCGTATCTGGGCTTTTTGGGAGCTCTTAGGACCCTCAAAGACAAGGACAATGACTTTGGTCTATTTGCTAGTAAGGAACATCGACTCTGGGCCATATGCGTCCTTTGTATGAGACTGGGGTCCATTAATGTGGGATTTGAAGATTCCCCTCAGCTCTGTGGATAGGTTGCAGGGGGCCTTAAGCCTTCTGATATTGTGTGTAGAACTGTTGGGGGGTGCCCCATCCACAAAGGAATGTGGATTTTTCTGGGAAGAGAATGTTCCAGGCTTTTATGAGATTCTCAAAGGGGTGTGTCTATGTCCCTTTTCGTAAGAGTCACTGCTCCCAAACCTTCCCCCAGGTCTCTAGTCCCCTTGCCCTTCAGTTTTCCCCCCTTGTTATTTGTAAGCCCCAAAAGAGACCCCATGTGTGAAGGGTGTGCATGGAGGATGTTCTCACTCATGTGGTGCCATGCGGCAAAGTGAAAGGAGTCAGGGAGTGTATGAGTCCATGTGTGTGCATGCTGATGCTTCAGCATGACTGTGGGGAGAGATGGGGTTAATCCCTTCCCCCAGTCTTTCCTAGGTACAATGCCTCCTACATTTTTCTGTCTCCTCCCCTTCTAGAAAGCTCTTGGGGACAAATGCCCCCCGCCCCCAGTAGATAGAGAACTGGTTCCTTCCAGTACAGAGGCTGCCAGGTGGGGGTGGGGTAAGGGTGAGAGAACAAGCCAGTGGTAGCACAATGGTGCAGAAGCTCAGGAGAAGACCTCCCCCTCTCTCTACTGGGACTTCTTAAGAGGACCCTTCACCCTGCAATTGGACCCTGGGAAGGGGAGATGGTGATGGGATATATGGTGTAGGTGAGTGGCTAGTCAGGGGTGGGCTTAGCTGCTTGCTTGTCTCCCAATTCTGGAATGCAGCTTGGGAGGCCCCCAGGCCCCTCCTCTTCTACTGACTTCCCATTGGAAGAATGTTACCCAAAATTCTCTCTCTGGGCAGTATATGCTGGCTTGGCACTTTTCCCATCCCCTCCTTAATCACCTGCCACGTTCGAGGCAGATAAACTCTACCTTAGTGCCAGGATGCAGTTGGGGACAGACCCTGGCACACTGGCTTGGCAGCCAAAACTCAGCCAAGTCAATAAATAAATAGAGTGGTGTACACTCAAGACCAAACATGGTAATTAGAAATTCTCCTGCTCTCCAGGAACACCAGGCTCAGTGTTACTGTTCCTATTTCTATCATCGTTGACAGTCTCTGAGTGACTAAGGCCCTGACCTGCCCCTCTGGGAGAAGCCAGTGTTCCATGGAGGGGCCAAGCAGGCACTGGGATTCACACCGTAGCCCATTGTTGCTCGGCTGATTTTTCCTGGCTCTGAGAAGAGGATGGTACCACCTTTTTTTGGGTGTGATCTATGTGCTGGGGGTGGCCTCTATGGGACTGCTGGGCAGGGGGCAGAGTTCTGGTCAAGCCTTCAGGCAAGATGACCCCTAGGGTTCTCTATCATCATGTGAACTGGCCTATGACGCCAGCAGGAGATGCCCCCAGCCCATTACCTCAGTGGAAACTGGTAGTTAATGAAGCCCCAGAGGGGGCCCACAGTGCGTCAGCCTCCTCTATTCTCTGCACCTCCCTTGCCCTCGGGACCCTCCTTGCCTAGGTAGCAGGGAGGGAAATGTTCATCCTGCTCCCATCACCCCCACCCTGCCACCTTTGGGGTGTTGCATGTGGTTGAGGCACAGGGTACAGCAGGAATGAGCTCAGCCTTTGAGCCCCTGGGCAGCTGAGAATCCTTCCTTTTATCCAGGGTTCCCCAAACCTGCCTGCTCTGTTCAACAAAAACCTGGGGTGTTTGTTGAAAATACAGATGACTTGGCTCTGCCCCAGGCTTCTCAAACTAGACTCTCCAGGGGAGGAACTGGGAAAGCTTATTTTTAACAATGCCCCCAGGTATGGGGGGAATGGTTGCCTTTTTGTCCCAGTTATGCTCCTGAAAAGATGTGCGCTGCCTGTGTGTTTTTGTTCTTACCATGGAATTTCATCTCCTACTGATTTATTGGATCACTTGAAAAGTCAGCATGAAACAAACAATTCTTATTAGTTCTTTACTGCTGGTGGCTCCCGATTCTTAAGCCCCTCAACCCAATCCCTCTGTCAAGAAGCCAACTATCTATAAACATTTATTTTAAAGCACTTGGCACCCCTGATATTTAAAGTATGTTGGTGAAGGATCCTCCTTCACAGACTAACATAGCCCTTGTTGAGATGTACTTTGCCCAGAGGACCCACCTCTACTGTTACCTGGTGCTGAGGAGGGGGAGCCCTCAGGGAGAGAGAAGGGCTGGTTGGTTAGATCTCTTCAGTTCTTGCTTCCAGGCCCACTCTGTGGCCTGCCACCAGCCTGAGGTCAGGAAACATTGTATGTTTATTCACATAGTCAACAAAAAATGCACTGAACTCCTATTCTGAGCTAGACCTGCTCCTGTCTGGGAGTACTGGGGAATCAGATGATCAAGACAGATAAAGCTCCTGCCCTCAGAGAGCTTAACTTTCTGGTTGAGATAGATACTAAACACACAAATTAGTAAGGTAAGTTCAGGTAGCCACATGTGCCCAGGAGAAAACAAGAGGGACGTCAGAGAGCCGAGGGTCCACTTGGGTTTGGGTGGTCAGAGAAGATCTCTGAGGAGGTGACAAAAAGTGAGCTAAGACTTCAGTGGCCAGAAAACAGGCAGGCAAAGATCAAGCTGCTTGGATTTGAGGACTCTGAAGGAGACCAGAGCTTTGGAGAGTAAAGGTCAAGGAGAGGGCAGGTCAGAGAAGTAAGCCCCAGCCCCGCCAGCCAGGTCGTGAGGGGTCTTGAGTGCCGAGGGGCAAATTTTGGGGTTCGTGCTTTAAGCAAGGAGAGAAGTGATTTGGTTTCTGTTGTAAAAAGGTCACTGACAGCTGGGTGGAAAACCACCAACTATAGGAAGTAAAAGCAGAATAGGGAGCTCTGATCAGAGACTATAGCTGAAATCCCAGGAAGAATACTGGCAGATTTTGCGGAGAAGGGAAGCAGTAGAGAGGGGTGCTCTCCATCCATCTCCTCATGCCCCTTCCTCCCCCAGTCTGGCCCATCTCTTTTTCCATTGTCCAGTTCTAGCAGCAACGCATCACCTTTGAGCCATTCTTTTCCTGGACTCGGACATTCTGGGTGTCTGCCCCTCTCCTACTTGCTGTAATCTATAAAAGAGAAACAGAGGTGGGTAGGCTCGGGTCAGGGGAAGGTCCTCAGCTGTAAGCCCACCTGAAGGAGTTGATGAGACCAGGATAAGCAGTAGAAATCAAAGCCTGGATATCCAGGTTGGCCCTGCAGGAGCGGCTGTTCTAATTTAGCTTTGTTTCCTAATCCCTAAACCCAGCTCCGCCCACACTGGCACCCTGGGCTGCTCCTCAGACCTGAGGGTTTAGGAAGCCCTTTCTGTCCTAACTGCACATCAAAGGGATGAGGCCCATTTTGATCTGCCTGTGTACCCAGCCCCCTCCTCTCCATTGTCATCCTCTTTTCCCCTCTTTGGAACCTCTTTACTCTATTCTATCTCCCTTCCAAGGCTCTAGATTTCTAGATTTCACCCAGGAGGTTGTATAATATGCATATTCCAGGGCCTACCCCAGATTCAGGATTTTCCCAAATGATTCTAAATGCACAAGGATCTCTCTTTGTAATGCCTGCCCATCCCAGCTGTGACTGCTGGCAGCTGTGACTGCTGGGATCTTTGACGGAGCTTTGTAAATTTAAAGGGTCAGGGCTGCCTTCACTTAAAAATGGAGGGAATAGAGACAAAGGATCTAGGAAAAGACTCCGGAATCTGCTCAGACTGGTTCTGGGAACTTGCAGCCTTCCCACCAGGGTCTAAAGGAGCCTAGAGATGGAGGGCACTAGGACCTGGGGTGAAGCTACCGTCAGTTCTAGGAAGGCTGTTTTCCCCTTTGGGCTGGTGCTAATCTGCAGGGCTGTAATAATGATGTCCTGTCTCCCAGGGGCTGCCATTCAGGACCCCCACCCCACACTCACTCTTGACGTCTCTCTGCAGCTCAGGTACCAGATAGTGATGAGCAGTTTGTTCCTGATTTCCATTCAGAAAACTGTGAGTAGAGGGCCCTTGGGTAGAGGGATGGGGAGTGGGGGAGGGCAGGAAATGAGTCATAAGGATAGAGAATCACAAAAGACCGACTTATTCTCTCTTAAAGAAAAGGCTGAAGGGCAGGGTTCCCCATTCTTGCGTTTGGACTCAAAAGACCAAGGCAGTAACTGGGAGAGGAAGATTTGGTTCAAATCAGGGCTTGCTCTGTCCTAGCTGTGTGATCTTGAGGCAGACACTTCATCTCTCTGATCCTCCATTATCCTTATTTCTGAAAATGAGGGTCTTGGACCAGTTCAGCAGGGTCCAGTTCTACCATTCTAAATTATTTTCATGCAGCTGGAAGAGATTTTTGTCCCCCAGGAGACCTGTGGCAGTGTCTTTAAAAAACAATAGAAGGTGGGGTGCTAATCTAGTGGGTAGAGGCTAGGGATGATGCCAAACACCCTAAACTGCTCGGACAGCCCCCCACAACAAAGAATTACCCAGCCCAAAGGTCAGTAGTGCTACTGTTGAGAAACCCTGCTTTAATGACTACTCTCAACTGTCTGCACCCATAAAATGAAACAGGGCACAAATAATCGACAACAGATAGCAGAAGAGTTGATTGCAGGCAGTTGACTAGAATGCAGTGAGACAATCACACATTTGTGTGCTGGGAACCAACTCTTTGCTGCTCAGCCTGGTGGCTGGAGTTTGCGGACCCAGCAGGGGCCACAGGAAAGGCCAATGTTCTTCACAGATAATTAGGAGCATGTGTATAATGTTAGTCAGCTGACATGCAAGTGGGCTAATATCCAACCTTAACCAGAAAGAGAAAGATTCTTTATAACCCCAAATAAGTTCTCTCCCTTGGAATTTTCCAGGGTACTCAGGAAAACCACAGGCACTAGGTTGGTGCTCGTTCCTATAAAGGTGTTTTGGGGATCCAGGGTTGCATTAAATGTTGAGCTTTAGATAGTTTATTTGGTTAATATTGGACATTGATTGACCTGATGTATAAAACTAGACATAGTGTAAATAGCCCAACTGTTCTTAAAAGTGTCTATGACTCTCTGTAAACTGAAACCCAGAGAGGGTACTAGTCGCCCACCTCAAAGAGCAGAGGGTGTCAGAAGCTCTCCCTGTCCCTTCTGTGACACTCTCTGGCCTTGCTCTGCCTCCCCCACCCCTGCAGTAGCTTTCCACAGCCCCACCACCAGGATCAAGAAGGAACCCCAGAGTCCCCGCACAGACCCTGCCCTGTCCTGCAGCAGGAAGCCGCCACTCCCCTACCACCATGGCGAGCAGTGCCTTTATCCCAGGTGAGCCCCAGCCCAGCCCTGGTGAAGGGTAGGATGGAGGAGGGAGGGAGGCACCCATCTCAACAGTGGCAGCAGTTGACATGCAAGTTAGACGAACAGAAAGGATTTCTGAGCTGGAAGGGAGCAATACAGCTCAGGATTTCATCTGAGAAGGCGGGATGAAAAATGCAGCAAGGGACTCAAGGGATTGTGTTATGGGTGGAGTAGAGTCTGTTTCCACTGGAGAAGCCACTGTCCCACTCAATCTGGGGGCTTTGTGCTGGGAAGAGGAGTTATCAAGATTAAACCCAGTTTCAGGATTTATAAAAGGAAAAAAAGAGGCTGGGGCCAAATCTGGCTCACACTGTTCCTTTCCCAGAGCCCTCTACTCTTCCTTCTCCCATAATCCCTGTGATCTCACTTCCCCAGAGATGAAGCATTTAAAGATGCTTGTCCACCTTCTCTGTCCCCTCACCCCTCTCTCCCCCTCAACTCCAGTGCCTATGAACCCCCTAGACAAATCGCCATCAAGTCCCCTGCCCCTGGTTCCCCTGGACAGTCGCCCCTGCAGCCCTTTCCTCGGGCAGAACGGAGTTTCCTGAGATCCTCTGGCACCTCCCAGCCCCACCCTGGCCATGGGTACCTCGGGGAACATAGGTAAGGAGACCCACGAAACCTGTGGGTCCGGGCCTTCTCTGTTTTTCTCAATTCCTGAGTGTTCTTCAGCTGTCCCTAAGATCTGGCTTGGGGGGAGGTAGGGAGGAAGGTGTATTGACACCCCCCAACACAGACTAGAACCTACTGTGCAAGCTCTGGGAGTGGCAGACACAGGAGAGCTTAATTTAATACTGTCTTCTCTTCCTCCTCCATCCATCCACATCCAGCTCTGTCTTCCAGCAGCCCTTGGGTATTTGCCACTCCTTCACATCCTCTCAGGGAGGGGGCAGGGAGCCCCTCCCAGCACCCTACCAGCACCAGCTGTCGGAGCCCTGCCCGCCCTACCCCCAGCAGAGCTTCAAGCAAGAATACCTTGACCCCCTGTACGAACAGGCGGGCCAGCCAGCTGTAGGCCAGGGTGGGGTCAATGGGCACAGGTACCCAGGGGCGGGGGTGGTGATCAAACAGGAGCAGACGGACTTCACCTTCGATGCAGGTAAGAAATGCTCCTGGGGAGGCGCGTGGAGTTTTGGAGAAATTGCTGGGTGGGGTGGCAGGTGATCAAGAGAACAGTTCCATTAAACCCAGAGCGCCTCCCAATGGATACCTTCCCATCCATTACTATCTAGTTAGTACATCCAAGCCACCCCACCCATTCACTTTTTTTCAGTCAGAGGAATTGCCATTTTTGAAGCAACAAACTTGTATTCAGATAAAAGATAAGTGGGATGTAGGTCCTTGCCCTTAGGTAGCTTGTGACTTCATAGGAAAGGTAAGGTATTTCTATTTCTGCTTTGCAGGTGTTTGGGGTTTTAACTACCTTCTGAGACCAAAGTACTGTGCCAGGAAAATAAGTGTGTCCAGCTGGAGGACACAAGGATGAATAGGATGTGTCATTGGTCCCTGTCCCCACAGAAGCCTAAAAATACAAAGGATTTGAATGAAAAGAAACATGAGCTTGAAACTAGCCAGGCTCATAGCTCCTAAGTGGAATGAGGGGTTACTATGTGGTTTCCATATCCTGTTCTAGCCTCCAGGTTGATGAATGACCCACATCTGGCCAGAACTGGGTACCGGAAGTAGAAGCTGCTTTAAATTATAGTTCCACCTGGCTGTTGACAGGAGTGAGACGCACTCAGCCATATTCATAAATAGCTATAATTCAAAACCCCAAGTGCTGAGGGAGGGCTATTCCCATTTAGGAAGGGCCCCGAAAATCCTTGGTTTCTGTTACGTTGTTACCATCCCCAAATTTGAGTTTTATCTACAAACTTGCATGAGAAAAATAAACTCAATTTAGAATAGGCTCAGAACTGGTTTAGAGCTTTTGAATTTCCCTTTTCCCGATGCCCAGTCTCTTAGAATCAAGGGGTGGACCACAAACCCCTAGGCTGCCCCAGTGAGAACCAGAAGGGTGCGCCTATCCAAACCAGGGTGTAAACCTGACCCAAGCCTGGTAGTGCGAGGGAGAACCGAGGAGGGTATCGCTCTTGCCGCTGACCTTCAAAGGATGTAAACCGGAGATCGTGTTACGTGCCCTTGAACTGCCCCTCCCCCTTCAGCTTCCTTTGAATGGAGTCAGGAATTTCATTCACAAAATGGAGGCATGAATGAGCCCACCCGCCTCCTCCCGGAGGTGTCAGGTTTCACCACCATTCATAGGTGGGAGTGGAGGGCGGGAAGGGGCTGGAGCTTGAAAGGGTGGCTTCACAGAACCGCCTCCAGGTGGAGTTGAGGTTTCGATCCTATGGAATGGACTCAATTGGGGTGGAATGTCCCGTCAGGCCTGAAAAAATACAGCCCAGTGCCCACGGTCTCTTCCCCAGACACTGATACATGCAGTCTCGCTCTCCCTCCTCCTCTGCCCCCACCTTTTCTTTCCTCTTTATCTCTTACGCCCTGGACTGGGAACCTGACCTGCTGACCGGACATTAGCCCATTCCAAGGGAGTCTTAAGCAGGGACACTGAACCCTTTCCCCGGACGTTCATCCCTACCACTCCCTCCTCCCCTTAAACTCACAGGAAACAGCTGCTCCCTGGAATCTGGGGCCTTGTGGCAACAGCTTTGCCCAGCCCCAGCTGCTGCCATCCATGCCCTCTAGCCCAGCCCTCAAGCTGAGGGGTTCAAGCTTTGCATCCCTCTGGGTGAACTTCCTCTGTCTGGGATTTGGTGGTAGGCACGCAGCTGGGAAAAGAACCAGAATGCAGGCTGGCAGGAAGTTTTAAAATGTGTGTCGGCAAGCCCTCACCCCCACCACCTATAACATCACCCTTCTTCCCCCCCACAGATGTCCCTGGTTGTGCATCAATGTACCTTCACACAGAGGGTTTCTCGGGGCCCTCTCCAAGTGACAGGACTGTGGGTAAGGCAGCCCCCTCCTCCCTGCCAAGCACTCCAAGTTGGAGGAGGGAATTCTGCCACCAGGGAGGGTCTTTGGGCCAGAAGTCCCTGTAGACTCTCTGGGATCTCATATCAGTGAACACCCAGATCTGAATGATCCCCACCTTCCTCCTCAAGGTTATGGCTATGAGAAACCTCTGCGACCATTCCCAGATGATGTCTGCATTGTCCCTGAGAAATTTGAAGGTCAGAGACTGCTGATGAGCGGGTCAGGGTCTTATCCGTGCTGTGTGTCCTGGGTATGAATGCCCCCTCCACCAGGAATCACACCATGGTTCATGAGAAGGGGCCTGGGAGCGTATTGGGGAGGGGGGCTCCACCGGGACCAAAGGCCCAATGCCTTCCCCTCCTGTTTCCTGTGTCCCCAGGAGACATCAAGCAGGAGGGGGCCGGAGCATTCCGAGAGGGCCCACCCTACCAGCGCCGCGGAGCCTTGCAGCTGTGGCAGTTTCTGGTTGCCCTGCTGGATGATCCAACAAATGCCCACTTCATTGCCTGGACTGGCCGGGGGATGGAGTTCAAACTAATTGAGCCTGAGGAGGTGGGCCTCTCAGATGTCTCCACCTCCCCTCCCAACAGCTTTGGGCCTGGAGATGGGAGAACTTGGGAACTGGTGGCAGTGCCTTCACCGTCGTCATGGCTTTACTGAACCTGCATTCTTGCCAAACCGGGTTTGTGGGCTGGTGCTAAGTTTGCAGGGCCCGCTTAGCATTGTGTACCAAGAATCTCAAACACTCTTTTCTCATCTGCCTCCCATTTTTCCACGGCCAAGCTAGCATCACTATCCCCAAACTCATCTCCTTTCCCCAGGTTGCCAGGCTCTGGGGCATCCAGAAGAACCGGCCAGCCATGAATTATGACAAACTGAGCCGCTCGCTCCGATACTATTATGAGAAAGGCATCATGCAGAAGGTCAGGTCAGGGGCCCAGGGCCCAGGGACGAGAGGGTGGTGACAGTGGCTGTGGGAAGGTGATGGGGGCAGGGGGCAGGAGAGCATTCCTCAACATGTTTGTAGGTGTACGTAAAGAAATCAGAGGGGATCTCTGGGGGAAACTGAGGACATGCCCAAGGTTTCCCTCCCGCAAAAAAGTGCTAAATAGTAACTGGAAAGTCCAAAGCATGGAGAGGTTGAGATTAAAGGAAAAAAAAAACTGGGCAGGGAGTCAGCTTCTTAGAGGAGCCAGCATGGGAGAAATGTGCCTCACACATCTGAGAGGGGCTGCATCCCAGCCCTGCAATTACCCAGAGGGAGTGCTAGGCTGACCCAGCCCCTCTATTCCCACAGGTGGCTGGTGAGCGTTATGTGTACAAGTTTGTGTGTGAGCCTGAGGCCCTCTTCTCTCTGGCCTTCCCGGACAATCAGCGTCCAGCTCTCAAGGCTGAATTTGACCGGCCAGTCAGTGAGGAGGACACAGTCCCTTTATCCCACTTGGACGAAAGCTCCGCCTACCTCCCAGAGCTGGCTGGTCCGGCCCAGCCCTTTGGCCCCAAGGGTGGCTACTCTTACTAGCCCCTAGCAGCGGCTCCCCTGCCACCAGTGGGTGCTGCCCTGTGTATATAGAGATGAATTTGGTGTTAGGGAAACCCTCACTCTGAAACCCACAGATGTCTTTGGAGCAGATCCTCACTGGCCCTCCAGTCACCTTGGCTCAGCCTCTGAAGTGCTCAAGAGGGTTAATGGGAAGAGTGGAGACGCTGTAGTGCAAAGACGGAGCCTCAGAAACTCCTATTGGGGTTCACCTCTGGCCTCTTCCTAGGTCCTGTTTAGAGGCCCGAGCCCTCTTCCTCTCCTCCATCATAAAGACCAAGAATTTGTTCTACTCGGGGTGGGAGGGGAAGGGGGCAAAAAAGAGCTTCCCCATTTAAGCCTGGCCAGGAGGGGTGCATTGAGCTCCCCAGATTTCAAACTCTGGGGACTTGGAAGCCTGGATCCAGGGCTCCACTCCAAGCTTGTGGCCTGGAGCGCCCTTGCTTGTCAGGTTTTGGTGCTCTGTGTTCCCAGAGGTTGGGGGAGGTGTTGGCTGGGTGGAGGCAGAGAGGCTGGGTTCCTGCCCCCATGGCCTTGTGCCTCTCCTGCCTTTTCCTAGGTCCAGACCTGGGATTTCACCTGCACCACCCCCACATCTGCCCGACCCTAATAAAGGCCTCTGCTTTTCCTGTTAGTTCTCCTGTGTCCTCTTTGTTGCCATGGGAGGAGGACTTGATATTGGAAAGAGCTCAGGCCTCGGCACATGGCCAGAGTTTGGGGCCTGGACTAGACACTTCCCTTTTAGGTTTGGGAAAAGACAGTTTCACTTCTTTTCCCTCTGAAAAATGGGCTCAGTGATACCTTCCCCTCTTTGGACTACTTTGTAAGAATCCTGAAATAGTAGAGGATGGGTACTTTGTAATCTGGCCCTCTACCCCTCAGCCACCGGCAGCTCGGTTCCTGCAGCCACCTCCTGCCCAGTGCAAGGGTGGACTTGCGGTGGGCGGGGAGGGTACATAGGGTTCCTGAGCTTTGAGGCCCTCCTCAGGCTTCCTCAGGCAGGGTCTGGCCTGTGGTTTCTGTGATCACAGTTGCTCCTTTGACCATGCTACTGTATACCCCAACTGTGTGTCCCCCCTCCTGTTGTGACTCCAGGTTTCCAATTTGCTGCAGTTGGGGACAAGGGATTTTTAAGGAGAGGATCTGGAGAATGGAAAAAAAAGATGCAAGGAGAGACTGCAGTGAGCCCTGGGGTTCTGGCCAGTGAAAGGAAAGGACACTACATCTTCAGGGCAAAGGGGAGTGGAAAGCATCCTTGCCCAAATGTGAGAAGCCAGGGGCTGAGTTTCTGGGGGGTGGATAGGAAAGGCAAGGCTGAGAAAGTGGTGACACTGAGGAGGGGGTGTGACTGAGCAGAACTGATGGGCAGAATGGGTACTTCTAGACCCAGGCCCTGTGTAGACAGCATCCCAGGAGCCAGGCTCAGTTAAAAACAGGTGCACTCTGGTTAACTGAGCTGTGCTGAGGTTGGGTCCCTTCCCAGTACTATTGCCAGGACCATGGCAGCCCTCAAAGGAGTGGACACCGCTTAACCATTGTCCACAAACAAAAAGCATTATTTTTTCCCCTAGAAACAGAAAAAAACGCAGTTTAGAGCAAGGAACAAATTTTTTAAACACAAGTTTTAAAAAATACATATGATTTAGTTTCATATTAAAGCCAGGCTATCATAGTGGGAAGATGTGAAAGTTGAGTGGAAACCCCAAGGTCCTGCCTACACACGTGAGAGATGGATTTAGAGAAGCAGCATCCCGGAAAAGGGTCCACAGGCTCAGACGTGTGACCTCAACCCTCTGAAATGTTCATTAACATGCGACTCCTCACAGCTCTTTGTTCAAACCCTTAAATTTAAGAGAGGCACTGCTCTGAGGGGACAGCTACAGCAGCCACCAGAGCAAATTCTTTGGGCTGAAGGAGAGAGAGCCCAAACCAGACCATGCGGCAGCCTGAAAGTGAGCCCTGGGCCAAGAAGCCTGACCCAGAAAGAGAGCTTACACTTGCCCCATTGGGTGGTCCCCCACATACACAAACAAGCAGACTCCACAAGCTTCCAGGGGCAGGAATTCCTGAGCAAAGCTCCTGCGGGGTGCAGTGAACAGTAAACTTTAAAGGCTGAGATTCCAGCTCCCTGCAAGGGACCCACATCCTCTCCTGGTTTGTCACTCAATCTCAGGAAACATGGGTTCAAGGAAAACAAGGATCCCATTGTGAGGGAGCAGCCGGTGAGTCCTTATGAATCTGGCTGGAAGCCCCCTTCTCCTAGGCTTGGCGATACTGCCTACAGGCCGTTTACTGATGGACAGTCAGAAGGTGAGACCCCAGCCCTGTTAGAACAAAGTGACCCCTGCTCTTGGGGAAGATACTCAAGGGACACCCACAGGGCTGGGGTCATTTTTGCTCATGAAACCCAGAAAGATGACTGCTTGCTGTCTCACCTTGCCCTGTTATATAGCCCCTTCTCACCCTAAGCTTAAATCCCAAACCTCCCACTGCCCTGTGGGTAATGATCTCAGAGGTGTTAATGCTACAGTGCTGGTATCACTCAGCTGGGGCAGGTGAGCTGCCTACCCAGGGTTTGCTCCTGAACTGGAGAGATGGGCTGGAATTAAGACTGGGGAGCTGGGTATCCAGTCCTGCTTCCCTTCAGGTTCCTCTGTCAGCTGCTGCACTTTCTCCCCTCCCGTGCTCTTAATTACTGGCCTGGGCTTCCTGAGGAGCACAAACAGGATCGGGAGGCAACCACACCGCTCAATAAAAGGGCAGGACTTAGTGAGCAGACTCCCTGTATTCCTCTCTGTGAATTCTCTCTGTACAATTCTGTGGTCGTTCTAGTATTTGCATCGTTTCAGAATTTACTAGATAGGGATGGGGGAGGCAGTGCAGGCAATAACCTGCCCAGGAGCTTCTGTACAAGCTTCTCCACACCCCAGCCACCTTTCCAGAAGTTCCACAACCTGACCTGGAAGCTCCTTCCTGTTCTTCTGCCCCCTCAGAAACTACAAGGGGCACTAGGAGGTGGCCATTCCCCATCTGAATGCTCGAACAAAACCACTACACACGAGGCCTGAAGTACAGGTGCTGGGTGGCACAAACTGGCTCTGAGAGGTGTGATGGTGGTTTTTTGTTTGGGGTGGGGGAGGGGCGGCTTTGCACATAAACACCATTTGTTAAAGCCCATTGAAGATCAGGGAAATAAAAATTAAAATAAGCTGTGTCATTACTTGCACGCTTCAAAAGGAAAGAGGTCATGCTGTACATTTTGAGTGTGGTAAGCAGGAAAGGGAGCCAGGGAGAGCCTTCTGTATTCATATGTGGCATCTGTAACCACTCAAGGGCCCAGACTGGAGCAATGGATGTAGTCAAGCCGGGGCAATCCACAACAGAGCTGGGCCAGCGCGGGTGCTGAGAGAAGACTGGAGGTCTGCGCTGTGTGTCACCTCCCAGCTCAAAGAAGCTCTGGGCTCTGGTTTCAGGGGACTCTCTACCATGTGTACCAAAGCCACAGATTCTCAATCTCCGCACCATGAGCCCAGGCCAATATCCTAACCTTTCAACTAAAAGAAACAAGTCACAGAAAACCACTTTTGTTTCCTTAACAAAATAAATATTTCTGGGAGGTTAAGCAAAAGTACAGAGGCTGGATAGGGGCAGGAAGCGGGGACAATGCTTCCAATGAGCTCTGTGGCTCTGTCCAGGGAGTACCAGCCAGCGCATCTCTCCATGTCTGGCTGTCAGATGCTTGTGATTCCCTTTCCCCATCCAAGGCTGCACAAGTTGCCACTTTCTTGGAGATAATACAGTGTACCTCTTGTTTTTTGTTAGCCCCACAGGCCCCAGCAACTCCGGGTTGATGGAGGCTGGAGACTGGTAAGAAATGAGTCAAATTTAGAAAATGCCCAGTTAAGATATGCAGTCAGTGGACAGCTATATCCTCAGGACCAGCTCGTCATCAGGAGAGTCCCAGCAATGGACCACTGCTGCAGGAGAGGCAAACAGACAAGTCTTGTCTCTCAGCGCCGCCGGAAGGCCCGGGATATTCTCCAGGCGTTGGGTTCCTCATAGCGGTTGTACAAGGGTTCAAGACGCTGCTGCTTCTTCTGTTTGCTTAGCTTGGTTGGGTCAGAGACCTTAAAGAAGGCAGGAGCAAACTCCACGAGCCACCGAGGGTCAATGGTGGTGACCTCACGCATGTACTCCTTTGTGGTCAGCACCAGCTCGTGGTACACCACCCTGAGGGGGCAGAGGTAGAGCTCAGGCCTCCAACACAGGGCCCATTCCATGGTCAGCGTGGTCCCTAGCGGCCTCAGCTGACCTGCCTGACCCCTCAGGAGATTGCAGTCTCTGTTTATGACAGCCACACCCCAGGACAGAAGAGCCTGCATACCTCTAACCATAAGAAAGTGGTGAGGATAATGTGCTCTAGTCCTAAGTCTGGCTCTAACTAGTTAAGTGGCACAGACCCAATCCAATCCCTTCTCTGGACTTCAGCTTCCCGCCCTGTGAAATGCAAGGGTAGTTTTCTCCCTCAGAATTCTAGGGCCCTGAAGAGGAGCCTCAGGGGATGCCACAAGGGGATGGGGAAGCCAAGTGAGCAAGGCTCTGCCTCTTCAACCCTTCTACCATGGTGGCACAATGGTTTTAAATCAGTTTTATATTACCATGGGTAAGATTCCCATTTTTTAAATGCTACATGAAGAAAAAATTTTAGACTACTTCAGTATCTGTAAGATCCTTCTTAGTTCTCACCCCTGTAAGTTTCTCTTAAAAGTGCCTGCCTGATAGTGTGTACCTAATTTAGGCTTCTGCTGCTCTAGAGATAAAAGAAATATTAGAATAGAAAGTATTGAGGTAGGTGAACACACGAACACCAAGTGCCAGGAGATTTACAGGCTCTCTGCCCAGAACGGCCCCTGGACCCAGGCAGGGCCTGCCCACCTACCATTCTGGCTGCCGGTTGAAGAGAGCACTGGAAGGGTGGATGTAGACCACCTGCTGGTCGATCAGTGTCCGGTAACCCTCCTGTGGGTCTTTCTTGGCAGCATTTCGGAAGAATCCACTGCAGATGGCCTTTTGCACTCGGACCGTGGACTTGCCACAAGAGACCACATCTAGCTTGTGTCTGCAGAATAAATTGAGAGGACAAAGATGTGAGACAACTCTGCTTTCAGAGGTTCTATCTTCCAGAATGACAGTGCCCACCACCTATCTTGGTTCCCCAGGGTAGGCACCTGGGCCCTCCTCCAGCCCTAAATGTCTACAGGAGCAGCTCTACACAGTGGGCAAAATGGACACAGTAAGAGCCAGAGACTTAATTCAGCTTGACTAATGTTCCAGATGCTTGTAAACAAAGAACATTTTTCAACAACTAATAAAATAATCTCCCTCTTAGGAACTTTCTGAAGTGATTCTTAGCTGTACCCTTGCCAGGGAGGAGAACAACAAAGATGGAAAAGCTGGAGGAAAAGGGTTATGTGAGAAGCCTATGGCTTCACAGGTACATACAGAGATGAACAGACATGCCGTTCAAGGAGGTTCAATGCCAACATGAGGAAAAGTCACCAGATGTTACCTGTCCATTATGCCTAACATCTGCTTGCGAATGTCCTGGGCCCGGCGCAGAGAACGAGCCTGGATAAAGTTCTCGTAACACCATGGGTTGGAGAACTTGTTATTCTTCCAGGAGTTGTACACAGCCAGCAGGGTGAGGTGGTCCCCTTCAGTCTGGTGGAATTTGGCCTTCTTCTGATCTGCAAGGGCTTGTTTATCCTGCCAAGCAGTGGCACAAAGGCTCATTTTCTGCCCAACAGCTACTAACTGAACATTCAGCAGATCCGGGGAGCCCTATGTGGCCCTGTCAGGTGTCCACACCAAGCACTGCAGTGGCAAGTCTGATTCCACCCACCCTCACCACAACCCTATGTGTACATGGGTCTGAACCTCCTACCTTGGGCCTGTAGAAGACGTTCTGCACAGACAACATGGACACGATAGTCAGCATTTCCTCACTGCAGCCCAGATGCACAGACATGATCAACATTTTACACAGCATTGGCTCCAGAGGGAATTCTGCCATCTAGAGGGAGAAGAAGAAACTACAATTGTGGAAGACTTACCTGGACTTGGCAGTGTGAGACAAGGGTCTGAGTGGGTAACAGACCACAGGAGGTTTACCCAAGCATGATGATGTGGGATGTCTATCTCTGTAAGAGGAATTGTTGTGTTATTTCCCAAATAAACCCCAACAAAACACATGTGACCAAGAACATGACTACCACTGGGGAAGGTGGGAATTTTGCAGACATTAATATTAAGGCTAGACTCAATAATTTTGAGGTAAAATTGACTGTAATAGAATTCCTTTTTCTGTCAAGAAGAAACAGTTTTAAGTGACAGTGGACAATCCATGTTAAAACAGGCACCCAGAATTCTATTCAAAGCTTATCCAGGGCCTTAGAGCTTGATTCTGCACAGAACAAAGAAGATGAAAGGCTGGCCAAGTAATCTTCCTAAAGGCACTGGAAATTAAGTCTGTTCCTACCCTGCGGCCCAGGCGAGTAAGCAGGCCCTCATCATCCAGGGCCCCCAGTGTGTACAGCTGCTCCATGGCTGTGATCAAAGTTTCCATTGGTGGGGCATCCATGAAATCAAAGGACAGCAGGTCATTGATGCCCATGGCCTAAAACAGAAGGGAAGAAAGTATGTGATGGCAGGGTCAGCTTCGCCAGTGCAAACATGAAGGTAAACTACTTGTCAATTTCTTTCCTGTTTCTCCAATTGCAATTAGGAAGCCTCCAGCAAAATTAGCAATAAGCTCCAGAGCTGTGCCACACAAAACTCAACTAGTAGAAAACATACACTTTCTACAGAAAACTTAAAAAACACTCCCCAAAAATGGCAGCACATACAACTCAACAACAAAAAGATAAAAATTTTTAAATGGGCAAAGAATGTCTGAAGTAGACATTTCTCCAAAATAAGTATAGAAATGGCCAAGAAGCACATGAAAAGATGTTAGTAATTAGGGAAATGCAAATCAAAACCTCAGTCAGATACCTCTTACCCACTAGGTTGGCTGTAATAAAAAAATTAATTAATAAACCAGAAAATAACAAGTGTTGACAAGGATATGGAGAAAAAGGAATCCTGGTAGGAATGTGAAATGGTGCAGTCACTGCGGAAAATAATTTGGTGATTCCTCAGTAAATTAAACATAGCTAATCACTATATGATCAGCAAATCCACTTGTAGATACACACACCCAAAAGAACTGAAAGCAGGAACTCAAATGGGCACTTTTGCACTAACACTCATAGCAGCATTACTGACAATAGCCAAAAAGCAGAAACCAACCCAACATCCATCAGCAAACAAAACAAGGTTATGTACATAAATGGAATATTATTTACACTTACAAAGAAGGCAATTCTAACACATGCTACAATATAATGAACCTTGAAAATACTAAAATAAGCAAAATAAGCCAGATACAAAAGAGCAAATATTGTATGATTCCACTTATATGAGGACCTAGAATAGAGAAATCTATAGAGACAGCAGCTAGAGCAATGGGTACCGGGGGCTGGAGGGAGGGGAGAAGAGATAATTTAGCTTAACAGGTATAGAGTTTCTGTTTGGGATGATGAAAATGTTCCTGAAATGGTAGTGGGGATTGCTGCACAACACTGAGAATGTACTTAAATGCCACTGAATTGTACCTTTTTAAAAGGTTACAATGGAAACACGATGTGCATTTTACCATAGTTAAAAAAAAAAAAAAAGACAGTACACCTGTTTGCCCTGTCTCTTGCATATGTAATTTCTACTCTGCATGTAGGAATTGCCTCGTATCCTCTTAGGTGTTAAAGAGATATGAAGATGACTGAGATACGGTCTCTACTCTCAGAGTTCACAATGGTGAGACACAGGGACATAAAGCCACAGTAACAACTGTGCAATTTTCGTGCTTGGCACACAGTAGGCACTCAATGGATCTGTTAGTTCATTTGACGAATACAAGAAACGAATGATGCACTATCCAAGTACATATAAACGGTGATATGATAGGACCTAAGCTTTCTGTTTCTTTCCCATAAAGTGATTGTGACTATAAACACAGCAGGTGTGCAATAAATGCTTATTGTATGAATGATAACTATAAGGAATTATGTTAGCAATCATTGAGCACTGTGCCAAGTGTCTTTACCCGAATTATCTCACTTATCTTCACAACAGACGCTATTAACAGCGCCTCTTTTTAAGAGGAGAATACAGAGCACAGGATCCAGCAGATAAATTTGCCAAGGACACACAGCTTGGAGCAGAAGTTTGAGCCACAGATGCCTCTCTCTTCTCACTCCAGAGACTGCAGCAGGTTTTTCCTAATGCTCTGTTTTAGCCTCTCTTATGGGGAATGACTAATCAATCACAACAGAGCACTCTGCACCAGTGAAGTGCCAGGGCTCCAGGGTAACAACAGCGTCAGGAGGTGGAGATGCCATCATCTGGGAAATTACTCATGTGGCTCCCCCTGCCAAAAGAGAATGAAGGTCCTCACTGGGGACTGAGAGAGGAAGAGCAATGATTCAGAACAAAAACCAAGCTCTCAGAAGGCCAGTCTGAAACCTGTACTGACAGTCAGTCCCCTTACAGTTTTTGGATTGGGAGTTTTACTTCCTTTCTAAAAGCACAGAATTGGGTCAGAAAGCTAAGGATTGAGGGATGTCTGTCCATGGTTTCATTATATTTTTCTAATATCCTTTTAGAAAATGCTCCAAATTAAAGTCTTTTATAACCAAATATATCCTGCTGCTTATTATGGTAAGAAAAAAATCTGTGTTCATAGCAGATATGCCAACTTAGCCCCAGCCCTGCAGTGGAGAGGCTGTTACCACAGCCATTTGCACTTCACTCAAAGGGACTGGTTCCATGAGGTTACTAAAGTATTTACAAGGTTCATAAAACTTAGATCTGCCTACTAAGGCCATAGGATTGGACTCTTATACCAACCCATTCTAACAAAACAGTAATTTCTACCTTGAGTGAGAGCACTGTGCTTGCTAAGTTGGTTCTCTGGATTTCTGGCACATTGGTGGTCAGCATTTCATCTCGGTAGGCGCGTTCTGTGTAGAGCCTGTAACACTTCCCTGGGCCTGTTCTCCCAGCTCTGCCAGCTCGTTGCTTTGCCTGAGCCTAGAGAGCATATAAAAGTAACAAATCTGTTAAACATTGCTTAATGGCTTTATCCAGGAAATCTGTTAAAAGAGGGGCACTAAGCAATTGGCAAACTTCAAGATGAGGTTTATTTCACTTCCTTTAGGACTATTTCCAAGACCACTGACGCTCTAGAATCATGCCCTCTCCAATACTCAGCATTTCAGTAGTTTGTTCAAGTGAGGCAAACATAAGCAAGGAGAAAGAAAGATTATAAAGCTCACAGAAGCATACCTTCAAAATAGTGTGGCACAACATAAAAGAAAAAGCATAAAACAAGGTAACAAAATACCATCCCCACAGTTATGACCAAAAATGTTAAGTAAACTAAACAAATGTAATGTTAATCGTAACAATGATAACTATGTGGCCATTTTAAAAATCAGGTTTGAGATGCTCAATGACAAGGAAATGTAGGTGAAAAAACAACTTATAAAACAATGATAATAATAACTGTGGCTAACTCCAATGGTGGGGTTATCAATGACTTCTATTTTCTTTACCAATATCTGATATTGAACATGTAGTACCTTAGTTATCAGGCAAATAATATACTTAAACAAAAAACACACAAAAATGAGTACTTACTAGACTACTAGAATTGCAACCATGAAAGAAACAAACATGAAAAGAGATGAGCAAGAAAAACACCAAATGATGACAATGGTGATAGTAAGATTATGGGTAATATAAACTTTTATTTCTTATTTCTCCAAAATAATATAATACTATTCTGTACATAGGGAAGAGGGACACTAAATATTTAAATTAAAAAATATATATGTAGTTTAGCCACAAGTTACCAGGAAACAGTGAATAGCAATCTGAAGAGGGCCATTTTCTGATAAAACCACCTGTCTTACAAATAGTATCAGGATTTATGAATTCCAGCTCCAAGCCAAAGGATATAGTATGAAAGGCCACTACCCGCAGAAAGGCAGGCAGCAATCACACACAGTGGAGACTCACAACAGTCTAGACAGGTCTCTCTCCCAATCAGAGGCCAAGTGTAACTAATCTCTCAGTCACTGTGAGCGCACACACCACCCCAAGAAGTGCTACAGAGCACACACTGGGGCCAGACTGCCCAGGTTTAGATCCTGGCTCCACAGCTGTGTGACCTTAGGCACATCTGTGAAATAAGGACAATAACAGTGTCTACCACAAAGGATCGATGCAAAAATACAATGAGCTCATGCATGTGGAAGTACCTAGGAGGGTGTCTGTCACTTAGTAAGTACCCTGCAAGTGTTAGTTATTACCATTTAAGTTTCAAATGAAAACAGCCTTGGGGTTTTTATAGACTATAAAAGTAATAAAGGCCTCTTATTAAATAGTAAGGCAGTATGGAAAAGTATAGAGAAAAACAAGCACTTCAGCCATTTAGCACAGTAACCAGCAGAACCTCTGAGAAATAACATGCTTCCAGTCTCAGGCATGGGCACATACACTCTGCACAAGTGCACACCATTTATTTTTAAACAAAAATTGGACTACAGTATTCCTGTTATTTTATAGCTTACTTTTTCAACTAATGTATCACAGTTATTTGCTTATGTCATTAAATATAGATACACACCACCATGTTAATGCCACATACCATTCTATGGCATGACTGTACCATATTTTATTAAACTACTTCCCTTTTGGATCTCATTTAGAATTGTTCCAGTTTTCCTCTAATATAAATAATGCTCCAATGTGCATCTTTTTCCATTATCTCTACATATGTGTTCAATCATTTCTAACTTTCAAATATACTCCTAGAAGTAGACCTGTTAAAGAGAAACTTTTTAAATTTTGGATGTGTTGTAGCCAAAATGCCCTCAAAAAGGCTGATCAGGTTATTCATTAAAAAATATAATTTAGGCATGAAATTATTTCAGAATTACCAAAGAAACACATTATTGTCTCATGAATTATTAACATCTCAGATGTCTGTGACTGGTACAGTACTTTAAAAAATATGTTCTTACCACCACCTATATCAAATAATATAGAGTGCTAAGATTCAAACTTATTTTTCAAAGTTCAAATTTTACACAGCTTTTTTTCCCCTCATAATGTATTTTTTTTATTAAGGTATCACTGATATACAATCTTATGAAGATTTCACATGAGCAACATTGTGGCCACCACATAGCCCATTACAGTCACCATCCATCAGCATATCAAGATGCTACAGAGTCACTACTTGACTTTTCTGTGCCACACCACCCTCCCTTTCCCTCCCCCCACATTATGTTACACAGTTTTTTAATGATCAAACACTAAAAATTAAAAAAAACAACAAATCTCCTTATCTTACGGAAGTGCCCATTACCTTCAAAGTTCACGTTTGAAAACAAAGTTCAAAATATAAAACCATAAAAAATTTCAGAAAGGCCCTAACAGGATTCTCAGGAAAGCTGTTGGTTGAAGCCACCATACCTGAGAAATAGGAGTCACCACGAGCTGGTCGATCCCTGTCTTGGAATTGTAAACTTTCTGCTTCACAAATCCAGGGTCCACCACATAGTAGATGCCATCAATAGTCAGAGATGTCTCTGCAATGTTGGTGGCAATCACGACCTGTAGACGAGAGGAATACAGCTGGAGTGAGCTGCCCAGGCTCAGCCCTGAAGTGTGAAATGGGACTTCTGAACTCAGACATCTTCCCAAAGGAGTGCAGTTATCTTCTTTTCAAGAAGATCAGATAGCACTAATCTGTTTGGCTTCAAATGGACAGAAGGGGAGGTGCCTTCACCTTAAGGGTTAGGTCGGGCAGGGGGTGGTTCCAAGAGAAAAGTAGAACAGTAAAAAGCAAAGGCTAGTTAAAGCCAATTTTATTTGGTGCAAATGGCTACATATCTCATTTTTTAGATCCCATGCTTATTACTACAATTTTAATTTTCTAGCACCCTGGGAAAGCAGAGATTTCCTGACATCACATGTGCCAGTACAAAATGAGATTTTTCTTCCCCCATGGGGACATCTGGACTACAGAATGGGCTGTCTCTGTATGAGGAACAAGAGAGATTTTTTTCTGATCATAAAATGAACCACGAGGCAACAGAGGAATTTCATGGTTTGTGTGTACGCAGCAGTGTATGTGATCTAGAGGGTTATTGGTGTCAGCTTGGCACTGCCACTCTTCTTCCACCCAGAGGTTCAGTTAATAAAACACAATTGCTTGGAAAAATCATTGTAAGGAGGCACCAGAACATCTTGCATCATGCCAGCATCTTATCAGCTCTGAAAGGCTTGTACCTGCCACAGAGCTACAAAACTGTCTCAGAAAAAAAGTTATCATCCACCGGGTACAGAATAGAGGAAGACTCTTTCCTCCCAAACCTGCTCCTCCTTCAGGTTTCCCTCCTCAGCGCCACCTTCCAACTAGCGGCCTAAGCCAGACACCTGGGAGTCATTCCTGACTTCTGCCCTATACCTCCAGGCACCTAATATCTTGTCTATTCCAACTCTTTAATGTTACTCAAATCTCTCTCTCTTCCATTTCTAGCTATGGACTCAAGAGAAATGAAAACATATGTCCACACAAAAACTCGTAAACAATGTTCATAGCAGCATTATTTTTAATAGCTAAAACAACCCAAATGTCCATCAGTTGATGAATGGATAAACAAAATGTGGTCCATCCACATTTTTGATGTAGAATAAAATAAAAAGAACTCAAGTACTTATACATGCTACAATATCGATAAGCCTTGAAAACATGCTAAGTGAAAGCAGCTAGTCACTAAGTACTACACATTATAAAATTCCATTTATGTGAAATTTCCAGAACAGGCAAATTCAGACAGACAGAAAGTAGATTTACTTTCCAGAGGCTAAGCAGAGGGGATAATGAGGGTGATTGCTTTAGCATACAGAGTTTCTTTTAGAGATCACAAAATTGTTCTAAAATTAATTACAGTGATCAATGGTTAATGATTACTTACCATTATTAATGGTAATTAATGGTTACACAATTCTGTGAATATACTAAGAACCACTGAACTATATACTTTTCTTTAAAGGGGTGAATTATATGGGATATAAATTATACCTCAATAAAGCTGTTATTTAAAAAAAATCAATCTGTCTCCTGTCTCATTCTCATACATACACTCAGTTCCAGCTACTGGAGCTACACAGCTCCCAGAAATGGCTACTCTTGTCCTTCCGCCTTTCCTGCCTCTAGGAGCACCCACGTGTTCTTCAGGGCTGGCTTAGATCATTACTTCCCTCTGGGTATCCAGGGCAGTGCCAGTAACACTTTCACACTGCATGTTAAAGGCCTATCTGTTGGTGGATGTCCCACGGCAGAGGGAGGCCTGTCCTCAGACTGCAGCCTTAGTGTTGACCCTAAAGCCTGGTAGATGTACAACAAATATCTGTCAAATGAAGGAAGGGAGAGAAAGAGGAGCAGGAGTGACACACAGACCCTCATTCCTTAACAAACTGTTTGGACTGTTTTCTAACACATAATGAACAAGACTTGCATACACCTTAGGCAATCCTGTTGAGGGCTAGCTGCATATATCACACGGTTTCAAGGCATACATTTCTGCCTAGTCTTACCTTTCTGCTGCCAGGTGGAGCTGGATCGAAGATTCGGGTCTGCATCTCACTGGGAAGAGCAGAGTACACTGGGAGAATAATCAACTCTGGAACATCAGGTCCCAGGGATTTCATTCTTTCATACAGGATCTCACAAGCAGTGTCGATCTCTTCCTGACCAGTCAGGAAGACCAGGATATCCCCTATGTATTGAACAGGAGTATTAATATACTTTCTGTGTGTGTGTGTTCTATGCAAATGACAGAAAATACATTCATATTCTAATGTCTAATGAATCAAGAGGATTTCATCTGTCCATGTTTTTTATCCAATTTGTGTCATTGTTTAAATAGGCACATTTAAACCCCACACACCATTATATGTATTTTCACCACCATCATTTCAAACATGCAATCCTGAAACTTACAGAGAGATCAATTTTAAAAGGCATTTTTAGAAAGATGAGCACAAATTACCCACATTAGGACTTCTGGCCTAAGAGGAAAAAATGCTCTTTCTCCCTACCTGGTGGTTCTGTTAAATGGATCTGCATGACAGTGATCAAGCTGGCATCCAGATAATCTGTCTCAGGTTCCTTTGTGTACAGTATTTCCACTGGATATGTTCGACCTGGGATGGTGAAGATGGGAGCTTCATAGAAATATTGGGAAAACTTCACTGCATCCAAGGTGGCTGAAGTGACAATCAGCTTCATATCCTGCCGTTTCTGAACCGTCTAAAAGGAAATGCAATGTGGCTTACTGAAAAGGACTACCCAAAAACACACAGGCACTCAAATCCAATTCCCAGAATTCAGTTCCCAACAGGTGGAAGGGTCACCAAAGAGCACCTCATTACCTTTTTCAACAATCCAAAGAGCACATCTGTGTGAATTGTCCTCTCGTGGGCCTCATCCAACATGATGATCGCGTACTGAGTGAGGTCGGGGTCAATCAGGCACTCTCGGAGCAACATTCCGTCTGTCATGTACTTGATGACTGTTTCAGGGCTGGTGCAGTCCTCAAACCGAATGGTGTAGCCCACCTACAGCAGAAGAGAAGTCAAAAACCTCAGGAACAAACCTTTCCTTTCTGCAATGAACAGGCAAGATTTCAGTCCAGACTGTTACCCATAATCTTAATAAATAAGGATCTGACCAATATGTAGATCTGGGCCTTTATATTTTCTTCAGGTATTTCCAGGATAGCTTCACCATCCACTTACCTCTTGGCCTAAGCAACAACCAAACTCCTCCGACACTCTTTTGGCCACTGACATGGCTGCCACTCTTCTGGGCTGGGTACATCCAATCTTGCCCCTGGAAGTGTAGCCTGCCTCCGCCAGGTACTGGGTGATCTGTGTTGTCTTCCCAGATCCTGTCTCACCAATAACAATCAAGATCTGATTGTCGTGGACAGCCTGAAAGCAACCGAACAAAAATATAGTCATTAAAATTTGTCACACATTACTCTGAAGTAAAATAATTAATGCTTACATTCTAACACTAAAGGAGGAAAAGAAGATACAGTAGAACGCATATGGCAATATTATCAGCAGGGTTTAAAGTATTTTATCATGCATAGAAAAAAATACAAATGGTAATTTTTTATGGGCCTTGCCTTTTATTATTTTAATTGCTCATGTAACTTAAATTAAAAACTTTAAACTTTATGGATATTCTTTTTTAACTGACTCAAATTCATATTTTTAATTTATTGGTTTCCTTACATAAATGAAAATATAGGCGATAATAAAAGCATACACTACCACCCAGATATCCCTGGCTTTATATATACACACACACATATATATATATGTATGTATTTTTAATCCATGGTTAAAGAACTCAACAGTAAAAATGTATATGAAGTGTTGTTCTTTTCTACTGCCATTCCCAAATCTCTAATACCTTACCTTCAAAAGTCATCTTATTTCTACAGCTTATAACAGCAAGGGATGGTCAACAACCTATGTGTCTATTAATACGGGACAGTTAAATAAGCCAGGGCACATTCACATAATAAAGCAGTAAAAAAAAATAAATACGGAATAAGCCCTGAGTTGTATCAGTAAGGGGAAAAGCAAGATGTAGAACAGTGTATATAACATGCTGCCACCTAGAAACATTTAAAGTACATATAAAACCTATAATGTCTGAAGAATTAATATTGTCAAAATGGCCATCCTGCCTAAAGCAATCTACAGATTCAATGCAATCCCTATCAAAATACTGACAGCATTCTTCAGTGAACTGGAACAAATAGTTCTAAAACTCATATGGAACCACCAAAGACCCCAAATAGCCAAGGCAGTCCTGAGAAGGAAGAATAAAGCGGGGGGGATTACACTCCCCAACTTCAAGCTCTACTACAAAGCCACAGTAGTCAAGACAATTTGGTATTGGCACAAGAACAGACTCATAGACCAATGGAACAGAGTAGAGAATCCAGATACTAATATAAGCATATATTGTCAATAAATATACGATAAAGGAGCCATGGACATACAATAGGGAAATGACAGCCTCTTCAACAACTGGTGTTGGCAAAACTGGACAGTCACATGTAAGAGAATGAAACTGGATTACTGTCTAACTCCATACACAAAAGTAAACTCGAAATGGATCAAAGATCTAATGTAAGTCATGAAACCATAAAACTCTTAGAAGAAAACACAGGCAAAACTCTCCTGAATATAAACATGAGCAACTTTTTCATGAACATGTATCTCTCCGGACAAGGGAAACAAAAGCAAAAATGAACAAGTGAGACTATATCAAACTAAAAAGCTTCTGTACAGCAAAGACACCATCAGTAGAGCAAAAAGGTACCCTACTGTATGGGAGAATATATTCATAAATGACATATCCAGTAAGTGGTTTTACATCCAAAATATGTAAAGAGCTCATGCACCTCAACAACCAAAAGGCAAATAACCCTATCAAAAAATGGGCAGAGGATCTGAATAGACACTTCTCCAAAGAAGAAATTCAGATGGCCAACAGGCATATGAAAAAATGCTCCACATCGCTGATTATTAGAGAAATGCATATTTTTTTTTGAGAGGGCATCTCTCATATTTATTGATCAAATGGTTGTTAACAATAAT